GGAAATTAAAAAAAAAACTACGATTTTATTTTAGAATAGTGGGTTTAATTGATAGTGTGTACTTTACTTATATTACATGTATAATTATAGTAAAGAAGACTAATTAAAAGACATTTTTAATCCAATATATACAGAAAGAACGTCGACATATTGTAAATATTTATAGTAATAATACTAGCCAGGGCTTTATTAAACTTATATTAGTGAATATTGGCACGAGTTGGACAAATGCACGGGGTTGCTAGTGCACTTGTACAGCCAGCGAGTGTCAATATTCATCAATATACATGTAAGTTCTGTAACTCCTTTATTATACATTTATAGCTTAGATATTTTCCCATAGATGAATATTAATTATTTAAATGAAATAAATCAAAATTTTAAAATGAGAATTATTCAATATCGGTATTTACTGAAGAGTTCAAAACCAAGCGTTTTGATTTGCTTATTAAAGTTTTAATTGAGGCTTATTTGCACTAAATTATCAATAACTATAAATGTTATCTTGAAATAGACTCATCTTACCTAGCTGATTCTACCCATCATAAATATGATGATTGCAGGTGAAGAATTGTTGTAAATAACAGAATCAGCAAACAACCGGTACATGAGCATCATTCGTCGTATATGACCACTTCCACTTGGCTATTATTTAAATGTATAAAGAATATTAACATAACACTGAGTACTTCAACACACCTTATAAAGTAGCAATCAGCAACAGTGTTTTTCTAGTTTGCACACATTGAACGATTACATGTAAAACTGTGAGGCCTTTATTCTCATGATATATTGGATACAGATTTCTCCGTTTATCCGATCATGTCAAAGCATAAGAGGGAATGCTTACTCCTCCATGGCAGCTGATCCCGCCTCTGATGTGTTTGCTCCTCACAATTTGTGGATTTTTGAGCATGGATGCTTTTGTTATCTTCTATTTCAAATGAAACAACGCGTGTGATCTGTTTCAATTATATTTAGTTATTTTCTCCTTTTACGTAATTTTTACCTGAAGTTTACCCGTGTTTCAAAGATTGAAGTGATATTTTGCATAATTTACGGAAGTTTTCATGAAAGGTATCATTTTGTAGAGATAATAATGATAATGGAAAAGGTGAAGATAAAGAAGTTTGATTAATCTAATAAATACACTTAACAAAAAAATCGCGCACTGTGCAAAAAACACGGACCTCTGAAAACACCAGAGGTGGGATCAGGTGCCTAGGAGGAGTAAGCATCCACTGTCAACTAGTAACACCCGCCATATGCCCTATGTATTGATCAAGTAGACGGAGTATTCTGTGATCAATACAATGGAGTAAATTATTACTACAGATTTATCAAAATGAAATCTCAAAAAATCATTTTATTAAAAAGAGTAATCAAAACAATTTTTTTTATATATGTACATACATAATTCATTCAATTCAAACTTTATTTAAAGAGAAAAAATAATTGTAATATCTCAATAAATATTAATATAATTATTTATGGATAGAAATACACAATTCAATACAAACATTTCATCATACAATACTCGTAATATAGAAAACTACACAATTCCGAAATGTAGACTTGAAATCTTTAAAAAAATCCTTTGTCCCAGACGTAATTAACAACTGGAATTCTCTCAATCTGGGAGTGAGGGAATTAAAGTCCATCAATCAATTTAAGAAAAGTATTTGTACACCATCCTCTAAACTTCCCTCTTTCATATGGAAAACGTTTCTGGAATATAATTCACACTAAATTAAGACATAATTTTATTTTAAATAGCGACTTGTATCGGAGAAATATAATTTCTTCCCCCAAATGTACTTGCGGCCAAACTGAAGACATTTATCATTTTTTCTTTGCATGCAAGAAATATGAACGTCCAAGAAATGACTTAATAAACACTATTCTTCAACTTAACCAGCAAAATATAATAGATACTCATTTTTTATTATGTGAAAACGAATCTTTGTCTACCGATGTAAATATTAAAATTTTCTGTAGTGTCCAGAAATTTATTCGAGAATCAGATAGATTCTAATTCAAAACAGTGTCTTTGATTTCAATATGTATATGCAGAATGAAAATTTTAAATGTTTTAGCAAATATGAAAGCTTCTTGTTCAATAAACATTGTAATCAGTGTTTATGTAGTATTAGAGCTCTGGTAGATTACTCAGAGTATGTGTCTTTATAATTTTCATACATATTACATGTACAACATAATTCTCGTAAATTATCTCAATTTATTTATTATGACAAACATATATTGTATTCATTGTTTGTATAATAAGGAGAGGATTTATTAAGTTGAAAGAACTTGTATCCAATCCTTTTGTATGTATTATTACAATAAAATATGTTCAAATCAAAACAATTCAATTGAAATAAGTCTGATATCAATGGGATGACAAATAATATCAAAGAATATCTAGTAAATGATTTTCAAAACAAAATTTTATTAGTATACTTAAACTGTAGCTTCTCTGTTGAATATTTAGCATGGTGTCGAATCAAGTTCAAAGTATCTGGTGCACGATCAAGACCTTATTCTGCTGAAGTTAATTTCAAAGAATGAATATCAAATAGAAATTTATAAATACCAAAAGTAACATGCATGCATATTCATGTATTGACAAACCAACCTGCATTTAAAATAACCTCGAAGATGCACTTGTAACCGTGATATATAGAATTATATTGAGCATGCTTGAAATCACATAGACTGCAGTTTACATGTACGTAAGAGTATAAAAATGTGTAATAAAACACTCTTATCAACAATAATATTTTTTAAAATAATTTATCTTTACGTACAATACTACAACATTATGTAAGTTCCTGTTTCTCACAGATCTATTCCAAAGTGCAAAACAGGAAAAAGTAAAATAAACAAAACAAGTATTGACAACTAATATGAACATAATTTATTTACTTCATAAATCTAAAAAAAAAATAATATTCATTTTTATCTATTGCCATTTTAGTCTCTACAGAAACATTTTTTATGTAATTGACATCCAAACTCATACTGTGATTCAGTAGCATTCTTCATTTTGCTGGGTTGACTCTGAACACTACGATGGCCGATATGGGCCGGGGCAAAAAGTAACCACGAGTTGTGTTTGATTTGCCGGCAATTCTTAGATGCTGGCAAAAAGTAACCACGAGTTGTGTTTGATTTGCCGGCAATTCTTAGAACCGGGAAATCTTCGTTACATGTAATAGCAATTCTTATATGTAACATTTAATTTAAATGCCAGAGAATATCAAGGTCACAGAAGTCAAGTTAACTTAACAGGGCAAATGGTGTGGGGAAAAAAACCCAGAATACTGAGAGAAGTGAAGGGGGAAACCGCATATAGGCATTGTTTAAGGGGTTTCCAGACGCGTGCACTCCAGATAAAAGTATAATATCTTTTAAAATTCATACCAACACATATTTTATTTGATCTTCAATAGTTGTGTTAATTTTTTTTGATAACAAATCTAGTGTTCCCTCAAATACTTAATGAACGCTGTACACGCTGCCTGCTGATTGACGGCCCAGCTACATGAAGTCAATTGATTAGATGTTTAAAAAAAATTGTCTGGTTCATAAACTACCAAACTACCATAAACACTTGTGAGGATGATCATGAAAGTACAGAAAATATCTGAATTTGTATTGTCCGTTTTTATCTAGGCTCCACCATATCCTAAGCAAAAATTATGAAAAACCATTTAATGAGGATGAAGAGCAGTTTACACTTGTAGATTTGCGTAGGACCGATATACATTACACAAGAAATGTTTTATTTTCCTATATACAGTGAACGTAACCCAGACTAATGTTGAAAAAGCCCCCGATCCATACCCCCATCACCCGTTATAGACTTCTTGTAATTTTCGGGGAGGCTGCTTTGTAGCCAGTTAAATATCTTGACTTCGCTTTGATATGAAACTGCCTTGTTGAACATCGTTTTTGGTTTTTTGTTTTTGTCAAACTGTTTGCCCAATTAAGATAACTTGATTTCTGAAACCTCTATATCCTCTGGCAATTTAATTAAATATTTTAAATAAGAATTGACGGTATCTAAGATTTGCCGGCATCTAAGAATTGCCGGCAAATCAAACACAACTCGTGGTTACTTTTTGCCAGCATCTAAGAATTGCCGGCAAATCGAACACAACTCGTGATTACTTTTTGTCCGGCCCATATCGGCCATCGTAGAACACAACTATCTTCTTGGATATCTTTACCTTGTCCGTAAATTGCAGTGAATCTTCTCATTCTGTGTAAGACGTTATCTTAAACCGAATACATAAAGCTGTAAGTTTATACAATATGTAATAATTTTCAAATAATTTATCTGAGCATATTTTAATTTGAAATGAATCAATGAACTTTTTATAGGCATAAACTTTACCAATGATATAACAGCTATGGCCTTATTCCAATGCATTGCTGTCCTGGCACGACAAATAGAGTATGTTTCACTTTGAAATTTAAAAAAGTTGAAAACTAAGTGCAGAAATAATAGTACTTTTGTATTCATGTAGCAAGGATCTCGCCACGCTTACGACTGACATTTTCACTGTGCGCCAGTATACGTCTCTAGGTTTGTTTGCCTTCAATCTGTAGTCACCGAGGCGTACGCCTTTTTATGGTCCCAATATATCAAGTGCCGAATAAGTGTATGTTTTGGCGTTTCTCACGCTCTCCTGTTGCCCCTTGGTTTATTATCTACTGATATCATACAGGTGAAAACGCAACTCAGGTAATCTTGTCGCTGGTAAAAGAGGCGGGGTTTTCCCACAGTCCCATACCTGGTCGGTCGCGTGCCAAGCGTTTCACCTGATGTTTCAGTGACACTTCACTAAAAATACCTTTACACACACGCCAAGAAATTCCGTCGCACGAGCCAATCACCACTTTCTTTACCTACTGAAGGCAGGACTATATTGAGAATGACAAATAAGAAGATTCATAATGTTAAGGTTTCCCACGAGTCCTAGCATGCGCAAATTTTCTTAAAAGTGACACTTTCAAGGAAAAGTACTAAAGCGAACGGGCGTTCTCTGGTCTGAAATAATGGAGAGTCCAGAAAAGAATTCCGATGTATCGTCCACTGCATCAGAAACTCGAAAAGTAAGGAGATTTTTATAGTTTAAAAGTTTAAATTAAAGAAATCTTTACTTTGTATCGTTTTTAAAAACACAATTGGCTGTTTTTGATCTTAAAAAATAGATAGGGTAGATTTAACAATCAAATCTTACTTGTTTTCGCAGAATTCGAAACCAGTGATGGAGAAGAAAAGAAGAGCACGAATAAATGCTAGTTTGGCTGAATTAAAGTCCCTGCTGTTGGACGTCATGAAAGCTGAGGTAGAAATTAACTTCCATATGGAACATTTTCATGTGATATCGATCACATTTTTTTAATATCAGAAGGAAATAAACAAAAAATTGATTTAATTTTACATTTTATTAGGTGTTTAAAACATTTTTGTCGTGTCTTCCTCCAAAGATTGATAATTATTTTAATTATTTCAAGTTTGTCAAAATATTTTTGTCTTCTGAAATTAAAAGCAGAGGGTTGTACGATTTCACATTTTCGAATGTTTTTAAGTTTAAAAAAAAATGAAAAATTGGAAAACATTTCATTAGGTCGTCTTTAAAAACTTTCCCACGATCTTGATGTTTACCTGAGTGTCATCTCGCGCGACGTTCCGCTAGCTGTAATAGCTACAGGCTCTTCTGTTTCACTCCACCTGATAAAGAAAAAAATCAACGCTCTCCACAGTCGTCCGGAAAGAAAAACTTCTACGTATTTAGAATTTAGATGAAACAAGCACAAATCCTCTTGTTTGTAAAACATGTGATTATCGTTGGATTTTTTTCATTAATTATCTTAGAATATTAAACATGTTTGTTTCTATGTTGTAATAAAGACACTTTATTTGTTCGATTACAATGTGTTCAGTGTTTACAGTAAGGTATAGATTAGTATCTTAACAACAGTTTGTAGATATTTATCATATTCTTACAGTTATGTCAGTATCAATTATTTCTTTTTCTTAATATTAGAAGAATTTCATTTTCTCCCTTTTTAATAAAATAGGGTACTCGTCAAAATAAAATGGAGAAAGCTGATATCTTGGAAATGACAGTTCGCCACCTACGACAATTACAAAGACAACAATTTTCTGGTGAGATTCAAATATTGTCAATTCAACAAAAAATTAAATTATTAATTACTTTGATATCGCTCCATCATTATTATCATAATTAATTAATTAAATTACTAATTAATTTATTTTTTATGAAGCTCTGAGTGCTACAGACCCTGCCGTGATAAATAAATACCGACTTGGCTTTAATGAGTGTGCAAGTGAAGTTAGCAAATATCTTGCAAACATGGATGGACTAAATACAGATTTCCGAGCCCGACTATTGAATCACCTTGCAAATATAACAACGAACACTGAGCAACCGGAAGAAACCAAGGAACCGAAATCTCCCCCTCTAACAAAAATTTCGCACCAAGGCCCATATCCTAAAGTTAATTCAAACGCTGCTCAATCAAATCCAGGACACGTTTTAAAGGTGAACGGAAATGTTACTATGTCGTCTAATGTATCAGCAGAAGTCCTACGAAATGTAAAAAGTTTGGAGGTAAATGGGAACATTACAGCACACAAATCAGAAAACGTGATATGTAGTGAACAAAATATTCCTTCGAAGATAATTCAAGGAGTTCACACCATTCCAACTCAAATGTCCTCAGGAGACGTTGCTTTTATCATTCCTGCAGCCAATATGGTACAGTATGGAACAATACCAAACTATGTAATCCCTGTCTTACAACCTCAGGGTGGCTTTCAGATCAGCCATTCTTCAAACAGTGTGATACAAACTCATCAAACAGTACCTATTGCTTACTCAGGGGGGATAACCACATCTCATGGTGTCCTTCCGTCATTTCTTCAAAATACAACTTTTGTTAACTCTTCTCCAAACACGGTAGGTCTGCCAGTAAGCTTAGTTTCATCCGGAAATGGAATTGCTGTTCAGCAACATGAACCACAATTCACAGCGTTTCCTGTTACTAATGCCAGAACACAGGTCACCCACAGTCCAAAGATTGATGTGCTTTCTGACAATAATAATACCAAGATAACAAATGAAGGCTCACTTTTAAAGGCTACGGGAGTTGTTCCCCCTCTCGAATCTCGTTTTACTCATGGACTTGAGGATAAAACAGACCCAATGTGGCGACCTTGGTAAAATATAGGTCATACAATTCAAACTTTTGTGTAACAAAATTTCCATTCTCTATACTTTTATTGTGACTTTGACAATTTTACGATTACTGTATTAAAATACATAAATATGCATGCTATGTAATTCTTCATTATGTTTTACTTCAGTGTTTACTCGAAAAATACTTTTTTTTATAAAAGAGTGCTTCATACTGTACATCGATTGTGTATTAGACTAGGGAATTGTTTTACTAGCTATTCCTGATGCATTGCTGTGATATAGAGTGCTTGAGTGTTTAGTGCTACGAATATAGTCATTTTACAAAACTTTTTTTTTTTCTTTTGAATGGCGATTAAAAGTGTACGTTCGAATGCATTCAATAAAACATGTTAGAACATTTACTTAATGTATTGTAAACGAATTTCGCTAACAAAATTAAAATTTCGATCGGAAAGAAAATGACATGTAAAAGAGAGACTTTTGTGGCATTTTACATTTTATACTATCTGGTACAGATAAATAAATTCACAGCTTGCCACAAGTTGTAGTAATAAAACAATACAAAACTAGATAGAAACATGAAAACAAAATTAAAACGATGTCGGAGACGAGCTCTTTTTATACCACCGGTTCCTTTTAAAGGGCAATACCATTGTGAAATTCAATGTAACATGACATCAATTACTTCTGAGGGAAAGGTACAAGAAAATTCCATATGTGAGATTTATAGAAATGCGTTACTCGTCTTCGCAGTAATTGTCAGCTGTGTGCTTTTTGTCGAAAAGAATTTACACGTAGATGAAGGTCTGTAATTTGAATCTTTGGATTTAAATGAATTCTTTCATACCCATATCGGCTTGTGATTTAAAACAGCAGATATAGAATAGGAATGTAAAAAATCAAGTGTCAATTTTGACAAATATAGCACCTCTTTCTGTAAAATATATGAAGGAGTCAAGTGCTATCAGCAATCCTGATAAATATCTCCATGGCGTGTACACGTCTCCTTTACTTGGAAATACATATTTTCTCTGTCAAATTCCCAAAGCTAACAAGGGACTTACTGAACGAATTAGAAACCAGGGGTATTCCTCTGAACACCGAATGAAAGGTTTCCAAGAGAAAGGGAGAATTTGGATTTTAATAATATCACCATTTGTACGCAAAAGAAGAAGCTTAACATATCCTGTCCTATTTCCCAAAGTAGTGTTTTTGCAAGATATGTCAATGTTTGCATATAATTAATATAATGTTCATAATAAAATGTCAAAAATGTATATTTAAAAAATCAGAGTGGTCGAAAACAGAGGTTAATTGGTTATGTCGTAATACATCTTCTTCATAAGTTTTCATTTTCATAATGACAAACTGTTATGACTAATGACAATCCTCCAGATTATAAATCTACATTATATATATATATATATATATATATATATATATATATATATATATATATATATATATATATATATATATATATATATATATATATATATATATATATATATATATATATTTCTTATAACTAATTTTGCAACTAAAGTCTCGATCCAAAGTCTGTCCAATACCGTGTAGGTTGTGATATGAATGTTGCATATCCCTCATCCAATCACACAGAGAGGGAAAGAGAGTGGAAAGGGGAAAAGTTATTTGTTGTACCAAAGTTGTCCATGCATAAAATATAGCTATACTATTCTCACAAAACATGAATATAGAAGAATAATAGATCTAAAAAGACGTTACTGTGATATTTAACTTTTCCCACCGATCAGATTGATGTACTTTTCTATCATGGCCCTTACACAAGAGAATATTCTATACGCAGTGATGCTAATGTCTGATAACTTTCATACAGAATTAAACTACAATTACATAGATCGTTAACGCCAAAAGTTATCTGATCACTGTTTTATTCCATTATTACCTTTAGACCTACTTAATATGTAATGGCAACTCTTTTAGGGCGACGTTCTTGTGAGAAACCCGCACCTTAATTTCCAAGCTTATCTAGTAAGAATGAATACATGAATACGTAAAATATAAAGAGAAACGACGACATCGTAATTATTTTTCGATTTAATATCAGGGTATGATCTACGTTGTGGCAGTTCCATTTTAAGTCATTAAAAACAAAATGCAGACTTCGAGCTTCGTCAAATATTCAACATTAAATGAATGGGACTGGAAGGTTTAAAGGTTAGTCACAGAATGGATGATCGTCAGAATTTTGCCATATTACCACAATCTTATCCAACATAAGGGTTCAGGACAGGTATGATGGGACAGGTACATGTACTTTAATGGTCATTCATTTAAAAGCATTTTTTACAACAATAATGTAAATGGGACTTCATACCGTTCCCCTATAAAATGTTACAAAAATAATCACTTAAAAAAAATTAGTAATATACAAATGATAGTGAAACTAAATATTGGTTTTTGAAAATTGATATGACTGGATTTTATACTCTTTATAGTCATATTTGATTAATAACTTATAACCCTGAAATAACTCCCTAAACCTTTGTTTCATTTTTGACGTATCCTTTTGTGCGATACTGTTTCCTATGGAAGCCTATTAGTGCCACGTATCTTTATAAGTTGGTAATTCCAACTTTAAAGTTTGATTGATTGATTGAATGTTGTTTTACGTCCCATTCGAGTATTTTTTCACTCATATAGAGACGTCACCATTTACCGGTGAAGGACTTCAAATTTAGAACTTTACTCGGAACTTAGGGCCATTGAGCAATGAGGTTTCTTTCTCGTGCCAACGCCTGCCGTGACACGGGGCCTCGGTTTTTAAGGTCTCACCCGCAGCTTTCACTTCAAAGTGCCGAGCGCTTGGCGAAGGAACAGTTGCAACCTTTTTTTTTTTTATCGAATTAGGTCAGTCGCGGCCGTGATTCGAACACACGACCTTCCGATCATGGAGCAAGCTCTCTACCGACTGAGCTACCGGTGACGGCTCTTTTAAGTTGGAGAAGCCAACTTTAAGATTTAAAGTTTAATTAAAAGTGGTAATTCCAACATTACAGTTAGTAGTTCCAACTTTAAAGCTGGCTTTTCCAACTTTACAGATGGTACTTCCAACATTGAAGTTGGAAATTTCAATTCTAAAGTTGGCTTTTTCAACTTTAAAGTTGACTTTCCCAACTTTAAAATTGGTAATTCGATCAACTTTAATCTTGGCTTTTCTAACTTTAAGTTGAGCTTTACTAGCCCTTTTCCATAGCCTTTTCCTTTGTTTTGAATTATGGTCAACTTTATTAATGCAGGCATAATACACTGAAACAAATTGGTGAGATATTAATCTGTGTCAATTATTTTTTACCTTGACCTTCCCTATGACCTTACATTAAATTCCCAACTTGAAAAGCCCCTATATTTCTTTTAGTTCATCTAAATATATAATTTAATAGAGAATAACCTTAAACAAATTCGTTCATAAAAGGATTTCAACCAAACCTATTTAAGAGATCAACCATATATTTTGATTTGCATAAGAGAATAAGCTAAAACGAATGAGACCATTATTAGGTGTTTGATAGGATGAATCAACACTATGCATGTGTGTCTTGCTTCAAATACAACAGAACTAAATTTATTAATTCTCTATATAAAACACAGTGAAATAATTCCTTCTTCCATCCTAATCTCATAAGTAAATCGTTTCTTTCCATTATAATTACATGTATAAAAGGGCAACACGACTCTAACTACAATGTATCTGAATATTACGCATAAAGCCGAAAAAAGAAGGAAAAGCTAAGATTAAAGTTGAAAACGCTAATATTAAAGTTGAAATAACCAACTTTAAAGTCGGAAAAGCCAATATTAAATCTGGAAAAGCCAAGATTAATTAAAATAGGAATTACCAACTTTAAAGTTGGAAAAGCCAAGATTAAAGTTGGAATTACCAACTTTAAAGTTTAAAAAGCCAACTTTACAGTTGGAATTACCAACTTATGAAAATATTACGTGGTACTAATACGCTTCTGTAGTTTCCTGCCACTTTGAATATGTCCAAATTGTCTGTTACTTAATACTTCATTTTAGATTTAGAAATTACATAAACAATCGCCAGATTCATTATATTTCATTCCAAAATTAAATTATGGTCATTCAAGAAAACTTACCAATATCAACTGGCCTCCCTTCACATAATTTTGGATGCTTTCTTTGAAAATTCAATCAATAATTGGAAATTTTATTAAATATATGTATGGAACTTTCGTCTGACTTTTTTTTTTACTGAAAATGAGGACGGGGCATTTTTATCCTCCCCTTTTTCCTTTTTTAGGGGGGGGGGCATGTTATAGACCAAGATGATTTGACTTTTCTGCAAAGTAATAACACTCTCAGGAGCCACAATAACCGTATATACTGGCCCATAGGTCGGGTGTGTTGGAGTTAAATTTTGTTCCAAAACTCTATGTCTAACTTACAAGAATGTAAATGTATAAGGAGTCTAGAAACATTGTTTCTCTCTCTCTCTCTCTCTCTCTCTCTCTCTCTCTCTCTCTTTAATTGAGGAGAAAATATAGTGATTTTGTAACAACTTTAACGATAATCGTTTGTAAAGGGCTTAGCTCAATTTTAAGATTCTTTAATTCAAGGAAATGAAGATTTAAGGTTACCTTATGCTAAAAGACTAGTTTTTACAAATTTGAAAGATACTATTTTTCTTTAAATTTTTACTAAAATATCAAATATTGATGTCACACCCCAAAACATGCTTTGAATTTGAAACATGGTCAATACAATAGAAAATTGATCTGAAATTGCAAATAGATTCTGGCTAAAAAAAGTTGTACTGACTAATAAGCAAGCGGGTCAATAACAAGATATTAAAAATACAACTGACTTATAGGCGAACTGACTAATTATGTGAATATATACGGGGTTTGTGACGTATTGTGTTTCTAATCAGTAGGCAAGACAATACATTTAACTCAGATAATACATTTTACATCAGAAGCTAACACACGCTTGGAAGGTATATGCAATTGGTTTTTAGCTCGTTTTCGCTCCTTTTGGCTGTTCGTCTGCTCAACTTTGTAATTTACTTGTACAATTATAATTTAACTTTAATATTCGCACTAAGGTGCTCTTGCCAAAATCGTGCAATTTGTGACCTTGGATCATGGATATTTTACGAAGGTCGAGATTAACCATTGTCCTTGTGGTTAAAATGCTACACAAACCATACTTCAAGTTGATTCTTCTCATGATTTTATTTTTTTTCTTGCAACTTTGCAGTGTCATGATTTCTTTTTATGGATATATATATATAAAAGGTCAGAATTCTTGTGCTCTTAAGCTAATTTTTCATCCTTGAAGCCATGAATCAAAATAACTACAAAATTCTTTCAATTTCTGTCCTAGTTTCTTCAAA